AACCAGGGAACCAGCAGTTAGCCTAATGACTATGTCGCTGGATTCCCACGTAGTCGACCACAGTTCGCGTCCCGTGCCCGGTGGCTTAAAACTCACGCCGGGCGCGTGTGTGTGCGTGCCCAAGATCCCAAGAGGAGAAGGGATTGTGGCATGACCATCCCCCCTGGGGGGTGATTTCTCGCTTTCTGTCTCTATGTTTATCTCTGTCTGGCGAGCACACGCGCCCTATAGGGAAAAACCTCTTAAAAAAAAAAAGAGAGAAATCAACCCCCAAGGGAGATGGCCATGCCACAATCCCTTCTCCTCCATTCTCCCCCAGGGATCTTGGGCACGCATGCACATGTGCCCAGCATGAGTTTAAGCTGCCGGGTCTGGGACTTGAACTGCGGCCGACTACTTGGGAGTCCAGCGACATAGCCATTACACTAACTGCTGGTCCCCATTTACTTATTTTTGAAAGATTTTTGCTATAGGGTGCATGCACTCCTGGGAGAGACAGACAAAAAGGAGAAATCACTCCCCAGGAAGGACAGCCACACAGCAACCCCTTCTCTTCCATTCTCTCCAGATTTTGGGCACACAGGTACATGCATGCAGCGTGAGTTTTAAGGTGCCTGCGCTGGGACTTGAACCACAGTCTGCTCCATGTCCAGGAGTTAACCACTATACCACCTGCTGGCCAGATTCCTTTTTTTTTCCCTTTGGTTTTGTAACTTTATTTGAAAATCAGCAGTTAGTTAGTTCTCATCCATATTGACTGTAGATTTTTGAAAGTGGTAACAGGTACATAAGTCACCAGAGTGTAGAACTTGTTGAGTGAATCTTCATCCTCGTTTCGTTTTCTGGACAACCGCACACGGATTCCATATGGGACGTTCCTTATTCCTTTGGCCCAGACAGCTTTGTTGAGCCAGGTATCAATGCGGATCTGGAGTCCCCATCTCTTTCATGGCAAATTTCCGGATTTCTTTGAGTGCCCGAGGGGGCACGTTTCTTGAAGCCCACGCCATGGATGCGCTTATGAATGTTGATGGTGTATTCCCGGGTCACCACCTTGTTGATGGCAGAACAGCCCTTCTTCTTCTCGCCACCCTTCCTTGCGGGAGCCATTCTGCCGGGCCTAAGCTGGAAAGTCAGATTCCATTTTTAAAAAATACGAGCTACTGGAGCCAGCAGGTGGTGGTGTGGTTAAAGTGTTATATTCCCATGTGGCCAACTGAGATTTGAGTCACAGACCTGGTGGTGCGTTCTCACTTTCTCTCTTGCTCTTGTTCTGCCTGTTTCTCTGGTGAGCACACATGCCCTATAACAAAGTGGAAAATAATAAATAAATAAATAAACAGTAGATGGCATAATGGTTACCTCATTGGACTCTCACATGGCTGACTGTGGTTCAAGTCCTGGATCTGGCAGCTTCAAACTCACTCCAGGAATGTGTGCACATGTGCCCAAAATCCCGAGAGGAGAATGGAGAAAAAGTTGTGGCATGGTCATTCCCATGCAGGGTGATTTCTTGCATTCTGTCTGTCTCTCTAACAAGTGCACTCACACTATATAAAAAAATCTCTGTTTAAAAAAACAAAAACAAGTAAATAGAGGTCAGCAGGTAGTGTGGTGGTTAGCGTACTGGACTCACAAGTGTCCATGGCAGTTTGAGTCCTGAATTTGGTGACTTGCTTTCTCATTTTGCCTCTGTCTCTCTTGGTCTCTCTGGTGAGCACACATGCCCTATAGCAAACTTTTTTT